TTCTGCTTTTCATTATCACAAGATTCAGTAACTCATTTCATTGTCAAGATAATCCCCTTTTACTCTTTCTTTTGCGCTTGCGAGGTATGCCAAAATGACAAATAAAACCCCAGATGTTACAGACTCTATGAGGTCTCCACCTTTCCCTGAGTGTTGGGTTTAAGCTGCTTGGGACACAGTGTCAAAAATGACAGGACCCTGATGCCCACACCCAATATTCATTACGGTTTGTTAGCGATTTGTATAGCTGTCCACAAGTCCAACTTCCACTTCAATTCTCAGTGGCTCCGTAACAGTTAAGTTTGTCCTCTGACTTTAACTGTCAAAGAATTCATTTCCTATTGTTCAGGCATTGGACAGAGATGCTATTTCTTTCTAAAAGTAACAAAAGTCTTTGGGGTATTGTAAATGGCTTGTTATTGCAATATATTACTTTAGGTATTCATATCTAATTTAATGCTTTATTTCCCCTCAGGCTTCCTTGCGTTTCTGCAGCATCCAATGGCTATGACAATGCCTTAAGAGATTTTCCTCAGGAGATCCAGTTGACTCTGGAATGAAAAGCTGGAGCTCCGCTTTGTATCAATTAAAGCCCAGTTTCACTTTTCAATACATGAAAAGGAGGGTTAGGTTCTTTATGTTTTATTGGTCCCGAATTCAGTGAACTTGAGAAGAGGCATTTGTATATCTGAAAAATAATGTGGTTATGCTTGCTTTCTTTTTACTTTTGTTTATACACAAAGGTAAGTACATCTGGATGACAGAGGCTGGGGTAGTGGAAGTTATTTAAACCACAGCTCTTTGACTAGGAATTCAACTCTTTGCTTCCTGCATGGATGAAAAGTCCCCTAAGTCCCTATGGAAAGAGGATCTTTGCAACTTTCTCCCAATTCTGACTAAAATGCCGGCCAAGATGGCCTCACTTCGGCTCTTCCTCCCACCCTCTGTGCCACCTAATTTGTTCATATCCTATTTCCCTCTTCCACGTCTATGTGGAGGATGCTACTATTCTAAGTGCCCCTGAGAAAGAGCAAGGCAGCCCAAAGCACAGCTATTTCACAGCCTGAATTGCGTACCCTTATTTGCCGAAATCTAAGAAGTGCCGCCCTAATAGAGTCATAATTTACTCTGACAAGGGGAGCTAAAGTCTGCAGCTCACTCCTCACCCTGCCTGTGCAAAGTGCTACACTGCTGGTCTGGAATTTATAGCTACATACTTATGGTTTCTCCAAAATGACACACTTCAAACAGCAAAAAAAGACTGTGTGGGGTGGGGGGGGGGAGGAAGAGGGTTGCTTCTAAAAAAGAACATATTATAGAATGGGATGGATTTAGTAGACAGCAAAAGAAATATTATCTGCCTTAAAATGTTTCAGAAAATAAGATGCAATTTTAAAAAAAGATTAATTTTGTTATAAATAATACAATCATAGAAATTTTGCGATATTATACACAATCAGAAATTTTTGCAATATTATAGAGCAATTTAAAAAATACAAGCATTATGTCTACTACAATCAGAACTTTAGGGTCATTTTACCAAAGACATACAGGAGAATGTAAGTATTTTAGCAGAAAAATGAGTTAGGTTAATTGTAAGTCACTGTTAAACTAGCATCTGTAGAGTGGTATTTAAAAAAAAAAAAAACCCAAAACCAAGTCCCTTGAAACACAGATAGTTTAGGGCCGCAGAACAGTACAGGAGGCTATGAAGGACTCATGGATTTTTCTTTTATTAAGTGGAAAATATTTAACCATTTCATTTTGGTTCAAATGATGAAACCATTTCAGTGAATAATCTGTACATATTTTGTTGTAAAAACAAGTAAGTGACTATAAAAGGATATCAGATTTAATGTATCGACAGTGTCTGGGAAGAAAATTAACTTCTCTCTCTCACTCTTCTATCATTCCCTTCCCCATGCACTTCCCATAAGCGCATGACGGTTTAGATGATAAAAAATATAATCATTAGGCAAACTCAAATATTTTTTGTACTTTCCAGAAGTGAGGAAACATGCCTACAACACATTCCCAATTGTGTTTCTCTAAATATTACTCAGAACATAAGATTCCTCTAGCATTACAAATCTATTTCAGATCCTAAATTAAAACTCATCTGGAAAGGACCGTTTTACCCTGTTTATATAACATTGTCACATAAAGAGTGTTAAAAAAAATATTTCACTAAAAATAGCTTGCGTAAGTTAGGGATTAGAGTAGTTTCTGCTGCTATAATTGTTCCTTTGTAGTTTTTTCCATGATGTTTTTGCACAGTGTTTTTGACTGTGTTTATTAAAGTCAGCACATCAAAAAGGATCAAAGAGAAAGTGAGTGAGAACCAAAGAAACCCCAAGTGTGTTGTCTCATTGGGGAGTTATGCAGATTCGCATAAACAAGTGCAAATTGTTGAGGTTTTAATGAAAATTTTCTACAATTATTTTATCTTAAGTCATTCTATACAATAACATCTGTACAGCAGATGGCTATGCTGTACCAAGGCAATGCTCCTTTTTCTTTCTGTTTAATAGTAAGTCTGAGATGACTACTTTTGTCACTGTGCTCAATTTGGTTCAGCAAATAATTTGAAAAGTGCAGCTGCTGCAGATGGTCACAACAGTTATATAAACTGTACAATCAAAGACGTAGTTAAGTATTTCTGCATTAGATTCAAACTATAAAAATCTTGACATTAACTCTGCTGTGCTCAGAGAAATAATATAAAAAATTTTGGTCGAACACATTATGATGTCACTTGAAAAATACACAGAGAAATATGATTACTGGTAGGAGAGTTATTTTTTCGTGAGGAGAATTTTTTTTTACAAATATCAAAAACATATCTTAAATATATATTTGCATACATTTCGACCAAGGTGCAAAGCATGATTTTTTAAGGTACTCAATTACACAATGAAATTGATGTTCAAGGTTTAAATTACATATTACTTTAAAAAAAATTCCGCTTAGTTAAAAGTCAATTTTTGAAAACTGTAGTTATCTCTCAATTATAATTTCCTAGAAATCTGCCTACAGCAGTAATTAAAATTTATAATCTTATTTCACTTAATTATAATTTGTTATTACCTTGCTGACTTCGTTTATCTTTTAAACATTTGAGCATGTCATCGCATTAAGCAGAAGTGTAGAGAAAACAGATTTTGTGTTTGTTACATTCTCATAATAAAGTTGTTCCTATTAAATGGCTAACTTGAATTTGATTTGATTTCCTGATGTAAATAACTACTTCAGAACATTTGCTGGATGCTCCACATTAGAGCTGTATAAGGTAAGTCTTAGTCAGAGCTATAGTTTCTACTTCTGCATTTAACCAGGTAAAAGGAATAGGGGTACTGGTATAAGAGGGAAAAACAAGTTAAAAAACAAAACAAAACAGAATGAGTCTACTACCTTGTAGTGCTCAGTGAGAGGATTTTAATTATACTTTAGATATTTACTCAAAATTGACACTGTTAAAAGTGGGTAAAATACAAATAGCAAATGAATAAAATAAGAAATGAGGATGAAAAAAAGAATAGGAACTAGAATTAGGTACAGTACACATTCAATTCTTTCACTATGTTTGAGTCCTAACCCTTTCCCTCCTATGATTAAGGTACAACTGGAAAGGAGTGGGAATGGATCCAGTGTTGTCTGGGTTGCAATTTACTTGTGGATAAATCAGATATTGTAGCCTCCAGTGTTTCATAGCCTTTCATGTCCGGTGGACCTTACATGTTTCATTTCTAACTTTAAGACTAAAAAATATAGAGTGCTTTTAGCTGGCTTCGTCACAAATATTTCTGGTGAGAAAGAAAGAAATCATTTCTTTTTTGGCCTAAAATTCATACTTCTCAACTCCAAAATTCTTTATCTCTTCAGTTACTCTGCCCAAACTGGCTATATGGAACTAAGTTACAGCTAGTCTCCAGCTGCCACTTAATTACTTTATAGAAAGCAGTAAGTTGCATATAGTTTCAGGATTTACTTTATCCTCCCCCCGCACCCCGCCACCCGCACTACGCATCTAGTCCCACTTCTTTACTGCAAATTCAAGTGGAAAAAAATGTTTCCCTCTTGCGACTTCTACTTTCAAAGTAAAATTTCTGGCATCCTGCCCTGAACGTTTACAGTAGCAGTTTCTGGGATTGAAAATGGTCATTTCCCACCTGTACCTTGTCTTTTCTCTTCCCCTCCTGCCCACCCTTTTTGATTCAGTCTGAAAAAGCACGTAACAAACTAGTCACGGTAAGAAAAGAGGAAAATGTAGATGTCACTGCCCGTTAATTTCTCACCTCTCCAACCATCAAGGGGCTTCAGTTGGCCGGTCCACAGCTCCCTCTGCTCAGCTGGGCACAGAAGCACAGCCTTTCCTTGCCAGGTGTTGCTACCTGATAATCCTCAATGGCACTGTCTTTGCAAAGTTGAACCCTGGCTTCTATTACACTTTGTGTAGCATTCATGCCACCAGGGCAATTTTTCTTTTTTAAATAAATTGTTACCAGTGACTTAATGGAGCACATTGGAATCACCTGCAGGGTTTGCTGGGACACAGATTTCTGGGCTCCATGCCCAGTTTCTGATTCAGTAGGTCAGGGGTACGGTCTGAGAACTTGCATTACTAACAAGTCCCCAGATGATGTGGATGCTGCTGGTCCTGAGATCACACTTTGAAAGCTATTAATGGTTCACAAAACCTGATATGTAGTCTGTTCTTCCACTATAGCTATTTTAGGTAAAAAGAAATTTAGAAATGAGCAGTTTTAAAGACATCTGTAGGAACACGCCTGAAGAAGTGGATTGGAACAGTTTAGTTCAGGGCTTAAATAATTTGTTATAAAATTTTCTGTAAAGTAAGGTCACAAACCAAAAATGTCTCCATCTCTAATGGTCCCGGAAACTTTTAACCTCTACATGCATAGATCAACCTTCAGAGTTATGCACTTTCAGGTGTGAACAAGTCATATTGTCATCTCCCTCTCCCCTTTTCTGTCACTTACCAGGTACTTTTTGTGCTGCTTTGATGTTAAGGCTTCCGTCGAGTGTTGATAAGGATGCTAACAGGCATGGTTTATTTGGATGAGGGACAGTTTCCATGGAGACCACAATCTGAGTAGTATGAACAGAAATCTTCTGAAAGCAGGAAACAGTTCTCCACACGTTTTCTTGAAATGGAATGTTTTGTGCTCCATCACCATGAACTTTCAGTTTAGACAACTTTCCACGGTAGCATGTGGAGGCTGGAAGCTCATCCTTACTCAGCGTGGTGTCTGACAGAGCTGAGGTCTCTTTGCTTTGTGCACTTTTTATCTTCTGTAAAAAATGGTTTACCTGGTCCAGCTTGGTAAAACTCAGGTTTGCTTTCAAAGGTTTTGATATATCCAAGTTGATGTCTGCTATAGATTGAAAAAGAAGAAAATTACTGAAGCTCTCTTATTAACTATAAGCCTTTACTTCCCTGTTAAGCTCCTATTTAAGCTCCTCAACACTGTACTGTGGACTCATTATGATGCCATTATAATTCTTCTACTCATCACCTAACTATTCTTCCCACTTTGTTGCTTAAAGGAACACTTTCCCGGGCTTACTTACATCCTACACTCCTGTCTCCATCCATGTGACTGTTCCCAACAGGGTGAAGGCCACGCATGGACATCTATCTGCCCTCTCCACTCTGAGGCAAAATTAAGCAGCCTTTCCAGTTTGTTACTGGCACTGACAATCTTTCTTTTGAGGTAAAAGTTCTTCCCTCAGCATTCGGCACAATGCTTGACACAAACACCGGTATTCATGAATATCTGTCCACGTGATTCACTGAAGTAGCCTCTCCACAACTTTCTGTTTGTTTCCTCTTTGTGACCTGCTAAAAACCAGAAGAGTGTCTACATCTTTCCCTACATTCTGCACGGATAAAATATCAATGATCCCATCCAACGTAAGATGGGTGAACTGAGATTTCTTAAAATCTACAGTTCATTTGCCATGTATCATTTATCACATAGTGCCCTTATTTGCCACTTAGTCACCTGACTTTAAAACTAACTAGGTCCTATTAGTTCAGTTTTTGTCTTCTTACTTTTTTATTGTCAATAAGACATAAGACTATAAGCATCATGAAGGCAGAGCAAGTCATAAATTTTTATACCCAGCGCCTGGCACAGTGTCTCTCTCAAATGTACATGTTCAATAAGTGGTTGAGGTGAACTGAACCTAACAAGTGTTCTTTTCATTGGAGCCTGAGGATGTAATACAAGCCAACCACAGATGAAGCTAGAAATAGCAAAGTTATCAAGCAGATTAAGTTCATATTCTATCTCTGTCTTCATAAGGAGGACCCCTTCTCACCTTCCTCAGATATCAGCACCTTAAGGGTTCTTCCTGGGTACCCAGGCTCCCTCAGGGTACCATGCCTTTTGAGTGTGCCTTTCCTTGTGTTTCTTTAATCAGGCCTAGGAAAATGCTGAGAGTCCTGCTTCCAGTTAGCTGTCCACTGGAAAGGGTCAGACCCCTGAATCACCCTTCTGTAATACTAAAATGTTCCCTACACTTTTTAAACAGAAAGAAAAAAAACACCTCATTTAAGGGAATTAATTTTTTAACATCCTTACTGACATACTAACTCGCACACCATATAATCTACCCATTTAAAGTGTAACAATTCAATGGCATTATTTTTTGACTTGTAGAATTTGGGGTACTGAAAGGGGCTGGGGAGCAAAATATTTTAGGGAAATTGGATGATTCGAATGACTCATACATCAACCTGCTCTGCCTATAAATCCTATTCTGTGGGCTTCCAAATTCGGTGGCTTCACAGAAAATATCTGCTTTTGTCTGGATTCATAACATGAGATTTAAATTAAGGGTCAGAAGTGCTCATTCTGTAGCCACAGAAACAATTTAGTGACCTACCCAGGAAGCTGCCCAAATAGCCACCTATACCAACTGCTGAGCCTAAGGGATCCGCTTCCCCTGCCTGTGGACCAGCAAAGCGTCCATGCAATGGCGCGTATGAGAGTCACTAACTACCATCTCACTGTTGATCCTCGCATCTCAGGTATCATGTCCCAGTGACACAGAAAAAAACTACACCTCTAGTTACTTGCCTAACTTGTTTTTGAGACTTAGTCTTTGAGTTACTTCCTCCAGGAAATCTTTCTTGACCCTTGTGGCTGAGTAAGGTACCTCTCATCCACTGCTTCCGGAGTATCTTATGTGCTGTGTCATCATCAGGTACCTATTTATATTATTTTATATAGTTACTGCTTAGGTATCTGTCCTGGTCCAGCTAACCGTGAGCTCCTGAACAGTCAGGACTGTCCTACGTCTTAACATTCAGAGTGTTGAAACTACTGTTTAGTCCAGAGTGAGTACTAAATGAATATTTAATGATGTAGTGAAGGCAAAAAATGAATGACTTTTTCCTTTCTACTGAACTCCCACAGGCTCATCAAATCAATTCATCCGGAACAATCCATCAACTCCTCTCAAACAAGCTATATTCCCAGCCTCAGTTACTGGCTCTATAATCTTCCATTTGGCTCATATTAAGAAAAAATCTGACTTTTGGACTCATTTCGTTCTCTCTTTTCCTGGTCCAAATCTGCTCAATGATTAAGTTCTGTTAATTTCACTTCCAAAATATTGTTTGAATCCAGTCTCCTTCTCTCCAGCATTCCAGCCACTCCCCATTTTTTCGTTCACGCCTTTGATATTATTCAACTATTATAAAGCCTCCTAAATGGCTTTTCTGTCTAGACCAATTCCTGTTAATCCAGTCTCTCCAGAGCAATTTCCAAATGATTTGTTTCAAATGTGATCCTGATTGGCACACTAGTACTTAAAACTCTTTAATGGCTCTTCTTTACCTATGGGATGAAAGACCAAGCTCCTCAGAATGGAAAAAAGAACTTGCCTTTCTTTATAGCCATTGCCCACCACAGATTAAAGTTCCAGAAATATCAAAGAGTTTACAGAGCTCATTTCCTCCAACCCACGCTATGTCAGACCTTCAGGCCTTTGATCATGTTGCTCCTTAGTCTAATGTACCCTTTCCTTGCCTGACACCTAGTCTTCAGCATGCTGCTCAGCATTTGCTCCAAAAAGTTGATCCACAAACCTGGATCTGCACAAGTAGTTTTTTATGAGATATAATCCCAATTAAGAAGATCCTTGAGTGCATGTTTTTCATCTTTAACACTTAGCATTGGGCTTTAAACTCAGCATGAAGTACATGTTTGGTCACTTCACCTGGAGCACTCCAGAACATTCTAATCTGGCTCTGTGGTAGGCAGAATTCTAAAGATGACCTCCTCTCCCTCAAGATTCATCTCCCCTGATTATTGAATCAAACACTAATCTAGGTAATGCTATGCTGTGAAGGGATTTTACAGTTGTGATAAAAATCCCAGATAAATTGAATTTATGACACAGAGATTATCTGGTGGGCCTGATCTATTACATGAGCCCTTTAAAAAGTACATGAAGGAGGCAGAAGGGAAAGTCAGAGAGATGAGAAATGTGAGAAGGGCTCTATGGTATGTCATTGTTGCTTTGAGGATGGTGGCGGCCATTTGAGAAGGAATGGGTGCTCTAAAGCTGAGGGAAGGAAGCACTGGCCAACCACTAACAAGGAATTGGGGACTTCAGTCCTACAACCATAGGAAATGGATCATGCAAACAAATGGAATGAGTCTGGAAGTGGATTCTTTCCTAGAGCCTCTAGTTTAGAGCCCAGCCCAGCTGAACGACACCTTGATTTTGGCCTTGTGAGATTCTGAGCCAAGAATCCAGCTGAACCCACCTGGACTTCTGTAGGTCAGGATACTGACCTGCAGGATTGTGAGATAATAAATTTGTGTTCCTATAAGTCACTACATTTGTAGCGACTTGTTATACATCAAATTCCATATGCGCATGTACCCACAGGATAGTTCTAGTTTCTAATATGATCATGAATGAAGTCTCAAGGCCTAGGAATGTTTGCCTCAGCTTCTTTTATCTTCTTCCTCCAAAGCAAAAACATCTAATATACCTTGCTCTTCTCTTTGTTAGATTATTTCAGAGTTCCAGGAAAAACAGAATCCTGTCTCTCCCACTTTATGCAGTTATAATATCTAGAGAGAATATAGTCATAAGACCTACACAGAGCAGCTATTTGAGGACTCAGAAAAGTAAGTGGTAACACACATTATTATATATAAAATAGATAAACAACAAGGACCTACTGTATAGCACAGTGAACCTTATTCAATTTCTTCTAATGAGCTGTAACAGAAAAGAAACTGAAAAAAAAAGTATGCATGTATATATATAACTCAATCACTCTGTTGTACCCCTGAAGCTAACATTGTAAACTGACTACAATTCAATTAAAAAAAGAATGAATGAATGAATGAATGAATGAATAAGTAAATACATACATACATACATACATACATACAATGAATATATAGGGAAAAAAAAGTAAATGATAACAGATAGATTGGGGAAGATGACTAGATTCAAAACACCACCAAAATGTAGTAAGTTTCTCATTTTTCTTCCCGTACTCCCAGCCTGGACTAAAGGTAGCCCAAAACCTGGAGGTGGGCATCAGGTATGGACAGAGGGAGCAGCAAGAGAAACTCTCTATTTCTGGCTTCAGGAATGGTAAGGAAATTTCTAATGTTCACAGGGACTATGAAAATCCCTCATTTCCCCCTTATTTATCTTGTCCTGTAGGAAACAGGAGACAACACTCATAAATTCATTTTGTGAGATCAACATTACTGATAGCAAAGTCAGATAAAGATAGTAAAAGAAAATTACAGACCAATATCTCTTAAAACTAGAGACATAAAAATCCTAAAAAAAAAAAAATGAATCAAGCAATGTATGAAAGTAATAATATACCACAACCAAGAGGGATTTATTCTGAGAGTACAAGGTTGGCTCAGTATTAGAAAATCAATCAAAGTAATATTACCAGTTTCCAAAAAAAAAAAAACCCAACAAAAAAAGACATGATCGTATCAATTGATGCAGAAAACGCTTTTGAAAAACTTGATAGCCATTTATGATAAGAATTCTTAGCAAACTGTCAATAGATGGGAGCTTTCTTAACCTGTTAAAATTCACAGATGAAAAAACCTATAGTTAACATCATCCTTAATCATGAAGGATTGGATTGACTGAATGCTTTTTCCCTAAGATCAGAAACAAGATAAGGACATCCATTTTCACTACCCATACTCAACATAATACTAGAAATCCCAACCAGTGCAATATGGCAATAAAAAAAAAGGGCATGAAGACTGGAAAGGAAGAAATAAAATGATGTCTGTTCACAGATGACAGGATTACCCATGTAGAAAACTCCAAGAAATCTACAGAAAAGCTCCTTGAATTAATAAAT